AACCCTTAAATTATTTGTTATGTGAAATGCATGTGAACGACGTATAGGCGAGGTGACGAGTGTCTATACGTCGTCAAATTAATTGTTTGTCTGCTTACTTGAAAAATCATAAATTATTTTAAATCATAAATTAATTATTATAATAATTGTTTCTCTCCTATTCTTTGTCAAATATTAATTCTTGAATTCCTGTATTAATTGTTACATGCTATTTGAATTATGTGTTTTAATTGTTATTTGACATTTAACATATTAAATATTAAACTGCCTATTTTCTCCCTGATTTCCATAACAATTTGCTATTTGTCATTGTTTGTTCCATAATTAAATCATAATTATTGTATGATTGTTGTCTTATAATTTTATATTAACTGTTGTATTTATTGGGGAAATTTCTTCTATAAGAATTGGTAAATGGATATATTGGAGGATCGGGTTGCACGCCGCAACAAAATTGATTGAAATGGATATATTGGAGGATCGGGTTGCATGCCGCAACAGACTTATTAAGAAGTCTATATTGGAGGAACGGGTTGCACGCCGCAACAGACTTATTAAAAAGTCCATATTGGAGGATCGGGTTGCACGCCGCAACAGACTTATTAAAAGTCAATATTGGAAGATCGGACTGCATGCCGCAACAGACTTACTTAAAAGTCTATATATACTTGATTGAAATAAATATATGACAGACTTGATTAAAAGGAATATATTGGGAGAGCGGGTTGCACACTACAATAGAATTGAATGTGAATATGTTGTGAGAGCGGGTTGCACGCTGCAACAGATTTTGATGGAAATGATAATTGGTTACGACTGCTGAATTGGCTTCAATTATTATAAATGAGTTACCTGATTTCTTTCTATTATTTGTTGTTGTTACTAATATTGCGTACAAGTTAATGTAAGTAACTCGCCTTAGCCTCATCACTACTTCGTCGAGGTTAGGCTCAGCACTTACCAGTATATGGGATCGGTTGTACTAATACTGCACTCTGCACTTCTTGTGCAGATTTCGGAGTTGGTCCCAGCAGCGTACCGTAGACTTGCTCGGATATCAGCTACCCAGAGAAGACTTGAGGTATAACTGCATGGCGTCCGCAGTTCTGAAGTCCCCGTCTATTTTACTTTAGCTGTGTGTTTATTTCCAGACAGCATTATTTTATTCAGACCTTTATTTATATTATTCTAGAAGCTCGTGCACTTGCGACACCAATTCTGGGATGGTAATTTTTTTTTATGTATAATTCACTAGATTTCAGAATTTACTTCCGCATTTGTTCTTTATTATTAATAAATTTAGAAATTATTTTAAAAATAAATAATATTATTCTAACGTTAGCTTGCCTAGCAAGTGAAATGTTAGGCGCCATCACGGTCCAAAGGTGGGAATTTCGGGTCGTGACACTTACAGTAGCAAGAACATTGGCAATAACAGTTGAACAGAATTGGCACTTTACTTTTGCCACAGAAATTTAATCTTGAATTATATTTCCTCCTCTTCAACAAACAATAGAAAATTTAATTGGGTAGTTGCGCGCTTAAAGCCTCAACAGAAAAGTTGGATATTCCCATTGCTTGATGGTTGCAGAGTTTTCTGTGTTGTACAGTGAAGAGAAAGTCAAGTCTTTATGGGTAACAATGGCGATGAATTCTACTGGTACTCAAAGCAGTATGTCATGTCATTGCTATCCTCATTTGCATATTTCAGATCAAATATTCAGGGAAGGGAGAGCTGGTTTAAATGCAGTAATTGCTGTAGAGGTAGAAAAATATTCACAAAATGGTCAAGATCTATATGAGTTTTAATCACGCAAAAACCATATAAATAGATGTATTTTTAGGTCAATTGAGTGAACACATTGATCAGTTTTTTTCCTTTCAGTCTATACTCGTCTTTTGAATAGTCAACAACAACAACAACAAACCCAGTGTAGTCCCAAAAGTGGGGCTTTTGAATCTAAGTCAATTACAATTATTTAAAAAAAAAAAGGAAAAAAAGGCTAACATTAATATTTAAGTCACATGGAGTGGGTTTTTTTTTTTTTAATCACATTGTCATAAGAAACATCTGAGCATAAATAGTAGGTATGTCAGTAGCATTGAAGAATAGTTGTTTGTGGTTTGGCGAGCAAAACATACATAGTAGAAAGAGCAGATATGAATTCCAAAGATGACTTATTGAGCGTGAACCATCTGTTTATACCCAATGATTCTTCAAGTTAATAAGCGCAAGCATTTAGATAATGCGAAACAATGATTACTTTTCCAATTACCAGCATAACTACATGAGACCAAAGACACATTCTACCAACACCATACACCAAATAAAGGTATTTGCTAAATAGTTTAATCAAGCAGACGTAATTACGTAACAGTTGGGGATAAATCTCAATAGCTACAGTCCCAGAATAAGACACTCAGTATGCAAAAGTTCAAAGAGAGTCCCATTAGGAGCATACTCAAAATCCATCATTCTGGTAAAGCAACATGGAACTTGCATGAGTCAAGTGTTTTTATCAAATTAATTGAAATTCTGGAGCACAACTTTGCCTCCCAATTTCAAATCTCTTAATGGACAACGAACACAGTTCAGTTCCATAAACTGTTGATTCTTTATTACACCAATCAGTAAACCTCAAACATGTCAAATTCAACACTTTAGAGATGTAATTATCTCATCCACGCAAGAGTAGAAACTTACCAAGAAGGACAACATCAGAAACTGCATTTTTGTGAATTTTTGTGGCACAGATCAAATTTCTCTGGCAGTTCTGGAGTTGATCCGAATGCAATATCCATAAGTCCCACATTCATGACATGTTTAGAAATTGTTTTATGCAGAAGAAAGTTGAGTTCGTTAAGACATTAATAACACACTTTTACAACTTCAAGTCAAGTACCTAGAATAAGTCAATGATTCATCATTGTCTATAGAAGCAACCCTATCAACCCCTACATAGCAATCACCAATAAAGAAGTTAGGAATGTCAGAAATTAGTTCCAAACATCTTAATCGAACATGTTGTGTATGAAGTTTTCTAACTCTAATAGGACTGCAAGAAATAGCAATACGTAAAGACATGAAACACAAATAAAAGATAAAAAGTAAATGACACCAACAAACAGTAAATTTAACCTGCTTTTAGGGAGCTTAGATTTCCAATCAAGCGTTATGTATAGCTTCACGCCTTCACATGAGCTAAAAATATAGTTGTGAGGGCAGGGTAGCAATAAATATGCTCTAATCAGCCAATTGATTCATATAGGTCTTAGAGGCACATCAGCAAACACCTTGAGTGCTTAGTCCACTTCAAATTCCAGTAAGCAAACAATAAAAAAAGATTAAATAAGTAGAATAAAACAAATCGTAATGAAAAAGTATATCCCAAATCAAGAGAAACCAAAATTCCAGCTGCAATTTTAATTTGATACCTCGGATTTTCGGCAAGACGTTTAGCTCTGCACTAATTAGTTGGTAGCAAAAGAAAAAATTCATCTAATAAAAGTCATAATGCATGTATAAATCAGGTACAATTACTGACATGCACATAAAATTTGTAGCATGAAATTTATTCAAAAGAAGAGTAAGCTAATATATATTCTCTAAATTGTCATCTCCAACAAAGTAACTTCAACAAATAAAGAAATATTGCATAAAAAAATTACCCAAATAGAGCTCGTATCAGATACAAATAGAAAAAAATGGATAAACTTTAAAAAGAGTAAGGACCCAAATTTTGATTACCAACAAATTAAAGAAGTATAAGGAAGTACAATAGAGAAAGGAGAGGCAGTAGAAGAATGCACGATTCCATGAACCTCAACAGCGCAGCTATAACCACGGTAATACTAACTGTTAATAAAAGGTAGGAATCGAGAAAGCTGAAGGAATTGTACACGTGTATAGCGGTAAAAGTTCTATGATATGCACAAAAACAAAGCCATATTCTTTTTTCTCTTTTTCAGTTGCCCATTGAGTAACAAATATCATTAGAGGAGTAATAAAGTAATTCGTATGTCCTAACTTATATAACACTTCTATCTTTTTGGATGTCCGAGAATATTTGACTCCACTATATTTTTATAATGCAACTTTCAATTACTCAAACATATTAAACTACTCAACTTTTAGACTTTGATGTAATTTTTTTTATCAAATTAAATATAAAGTTAAATACAATGCAAAATCAAATATATTTCATATAAAATGAACTAAAGTGAGTAATATAGCCAAGTATGCCAACTATACTCTCACCATGGAGGAAGCGCTTTACCCTTTTAAAGTGGTATTTTTCGGTGTAATTCCGTATTAGTTGGGTCCCAAAGTAGATATCGAACATTGTCCCCATGGAGACAAAGAGGATGCATTTGTACAATTTTATGAGGAGCCGGTCCAAGTTCGATGATTTTAGAAAATGTTGAAAAACACCTCAATTCCAAACTTTAGAGTTTAGCATCGGTAGCTGGTGAATGTTATCAATGTTACCTTGGAATTTTCTAAGTTAGACAACAATTTTATTATGACCAGATTCTTCTTTTTTCATCTCTGCTTTCTTTTCCCCTCTTCAAATATACTAGTTTAGTAGTGCATTGTTTATTGTTGTGGACTCCTTGTTCCGCTAAATAGGTTTGCGTTTAAACCATAACATATTTTAAAGAATTCATATTCTCAGTGTGACTGGCTCTAGTAGTTTTATATGTTCTTACGTGTTTGAGCGGAAGCCTTTGAGCAACAGTAAAGTTGTCTTCGTGTGACATATAGCTAGGTCACGGGTTCGACCCGTAGAATTAGTCATTGATGCTTGCATTAAAGTAGTCTTTATATCACATCCCTTGGGATGCTGCCTTTTCTCGGACCCTACATAAACGAAGAATACTTCGTGCGTTGAACTACCTTTTAGTGCGACTAGCTCTAATATTTATATCTTTGTATTTTTTTTAATAATAGATAAATCCGTAGTTTTCATCTTTAAAATTTAGTGAATGATGGACATAATCCTCAGTCATTTTTTACTTAAATATCAGTCTTTGAATATTATATCTAGATAATAACGCACGAAAAAGAAAAGGAAATCATTACAATCAAACAACCAATTGTGTCTTGATTTCACATTAGTTGAAGTGAATATATGAATCCTCTGTATTTATTTTGCTTTATCTAGAGGCGTTCTATATATTTCAAGGTTCCAACACTTAATAATTTGTCCTTTAAGATAGTTTATTAATAGTTCTTGAATGTCACAATTATCTTGACACTGACATACATATTCGTATCAATAATAAGAAGAATCCTTATGAACACTTATCGTGTTTTGTTCTTAAGCAAAATTTGCGTCAAAGCCTAAAGCATAGATAGATCATTTAAGACAACTTCCGATCCATATGATATGTACATCATTTAGTACCCTTTTAGTACCATCCAAAATCACTAGATTAATTGTCTCCAATAAAATTATTTAAACTATTAAACGACATACGTCAACAATTGTGGTATGATGAATGGGATTCCTCTATCTTTGACCAGGGATTTAAAGTTTGAATTCTGAAGATAAAACAATCACAGATAGGAAGAGTTTTTCTCTCTAAGGATCCAACACAATGTGAATCGGAATTAATTGGACCAAGGAGAAAAATAGTATAAAAGAGATTAAAAGAAGAAAGAAAAAAAAAAGAGAAGAGCTCAATTAAAAATGACAAAGTTTGACTTTGACTTCCAACATAAAATCTTGGAGGACACGTATTTGTGGTCATTTTTAGAACTCACCACTTTCATTTTCCGATCCAGAAAATGGAAAGCCAACTGGTTGAGATGTGCATGGAATCGGCAACGCAGAGCCGTGACGCCGTCGAAGCGTGGCGGAGACAGCGGCGGACTCTGGAAAGTATGCCATCTCACCTCGCCGAAGCTCTCCTTCACCGCCTTCTTCGCCGCCGTCTCCTGTTCCCGTCTTTACTCGAGTAAGTTTATCCTAATTATCACCTCATTCCTTTTATTTTTCAGTATACTTAATTATTACTGTATTTCATTCCTGAAATTACAAATAAATGTGATCTTTCATAATCTAGCGGTTACTGGATCAGTTCGAGTTGTAATATTAAAGTGAATTTAGGAAAAATCCTATGAACAGTTTGCAGCTTTTTAATAACCATCTCAACTTTTAAAAGTCAATCAATCTGTGCTAGTTTGACTTCAGAAATTTGGTCAGATTGATAGTTGAAAAGAGAAAATGTTGAACGGAATAGGTTAAAAGGAGTAGTTTAGTGTGTAGATAATTGATGAACAAAATGGCCTGTCACAAAAATTAACAAAAAAACGGGAGAACAAAAGTAACTGAGAGTGTTTTATGCAAGTGAAGGAGTTGAATTACTTGTTATATTTTGGTCATATCTTTTTGTTATAGGCCCTTCAATCATCGAAGCTAAGTGTTATAGTCAAATTATAATTATTTTATGTGGTAGCTGGGTAGTGATTCTCGAAATTATGAGAACCATATTTGCGTTGGCCTGAGAAATATATGTTTGCAGGGTATTGGTTGTCCAAGGATTTGAAATGTTATTCACATCCTTGAAGCTGCATAATTATGAATTGTATTGCTTCCTCAGTGAAATGAGGCTCCTAGTGTTGGACTTCTGTGTTGCAATGATGATAGTATTGTCACCCCTAACATTTGAGAAACGGTTTAGCTATGTGATTGTAAAGTTGATGTTTTCCCATTATTTTACTAATTCTACAGTAGTGTACCATCAAAACCTAAAGCTGCTGACATCTTTCTTCTGTGTGTTGGATTCATGCATAATCTACTCGAAAAGCTGATATATATTTTCTTGTCTAGAGTGTTTAAATTTTGTGTCGAGGAGATCGACTTAAGGGGGGAGAGCTGTGTGGATGCAGAATGGATGGCATATATAGGTGCTTTTGATCACTTGCGCTCTCTAAATTTATCAGATTGTAACAAAATTAACAATTCAGCCATTTGGGCTATTACAGGTAACCTTTGACCTCTTATATTTTTAGATAAATGCAACTAACCTAGTTCATATTCTGTTATATTCTCCTCTAAACTATTATTTCTTTATTTTTTCCCCTTGGTTAACTTGTATTGGTTCATAAATATTACATGACACTCTAAATGTTTACTTACAGAGGTCTGCTTTTGTTCTCCTCAGGAATGACAAACTTAAAGGAGCTTGACCTCTCCAGATGCTCAAAGATCACTGACACTGGAATTAGACATCTAACATCCATCCCAATTTTGGAACATTTGTGGATTCCAGAAACAGGTGTCACAAATGATGGTGTGATACTCCTGTCTTCATTAACTAACTTATCTGTGTTAGATTTGGGAGGCCTGCCTGTGTCTGATTCGGCTTTGGATAATCTTAAGGTAGATCCTCTTTTTATGTGGAAATTCTGAGGTAGATCATCTGCTGTTAACATGTCTTTAAGATCTTGTCTTTCTTCTCCCCCACCTTTCCTCTTGGCGTATTAAACGTTTTATTTCTCTTTAAGCTTTGGGTTATGAGAAATTCTCATCCATTCTCAAAGACCTATGTTATGTTTTAGGAAACATTCAAGGTTAATAATGTTTCTTAAAATTCTCAGTACCTTAAAATCTCAATTCTTACCACTAAGTAGAACGTTGAAAATAATTCCATAGTTCAAATCTATTTTGAAAAAACAAGTAGCGTTGTAGATGTTTTTTCCACTAAGTAAAATGTCACAATTTCATACATTTGAATAATTCAAATCTATTTTTAAAATGAAAAGATGGCTTGGTCTACTTGTGCCCTTTAAGTTACCTTGAAGGCTTAAAACAGTTGCTTTAGTGTCTTAGGCTTGAGCTAGCCTTGTTTAGCTTACCCACTGGACTAAACTGTTATGGATTGTTCTTTTAATCATCTAGTCCTTTAATTGTACTTACTTAGAATGGTTGAACTTACTCAAGGTAAATGACACGTTTATGGTTCGGGTAGGTTCTCCGAAAGCTGCAACATTTGGATCTTTGGGGGAGTGAATTATCAAACAAAGGAGCATCTTATCTTAAATGGTTCCCAAGATTGAGTTTTCTGAATTTGGCCTGGACCAAGGTCACTATGTTGCCAAGTCTGCCTTCTCTTGCATGCCTAAATATGAGCAATTGCACGATACATTCTTCATTCGAAGGAGAAGGACGGAAAGCTCCCCTTGCAAAGCTTATTCTGTCTGGATCAACCATAAGAGATGTCTCTGAAGCTTTCCAACACCTTGAAACCTCTTCCCTCTCTCTCCTGGATCTTTCCAATTCATCTCTTAATTCTTACTGCTTTTTGCCATATATGAGTGCTATATCAGATTTAGATCTCAGTGGTACATCTGCAGGAGATGAGTCAGTTGAACACATTGCATTTATAGGTCAAAATTTACGCCATCTAAATCTCAGCAGGACAAAATTAAGCAATGCAGGACTGGAAATCTTAGCTGGTTTTGTTCCCAATCTTGAAACTTTATTATTATCTTACACAGCCATTGACGATTATGCTATCCCCTTCATGAGCACCATGCCTTTGTTAAAAAGTATCAATCTAAGTGGTACAAATATCAGAGGTATGCCATGTTCTTTTCCTCAAAACTTCCTTTTATTTTTTACATTTAGTTTCTTTTGTGGTCCTCAATTTCTCCTTCATTGGAAACTAGATAGGTGTAGATGATGCTTGAACACTTGAAGACAACACCATAATGTCAATATGTATCTCACTTGTAGGCTAGTCTATTACACGATGAACACGCTTGTAGAATTCCAAATTTGTGATGAAAATCATTTCCGAAAGATCCAAGTGTGCTTTAAATTTATTTTCAGATGTCATCATAGATGGATGCATTTTATGCCTTATATCCAACCAAAATTAATCAGAGTGGAACTTAAAATATCAGTTCAGTTGCCTATTGAGGGACACTTCTTTTCCTGTAGGGTTAGGACAACATTAGTCTCTTCTCTCTTCATTCACATGGTTGTGTAATCTGCCACA